CAACATGCATTAATTTGATTCATTATGTAAGCGTTAAGTATCTATTATGACTATCAGTATTTCATTATCCACACACCATTTTAGAGCGCCTCTACTGCCGGAAAAATCAAGATTGCCGATGGCTCATGGTTCTTTTATTACTTTTACGATTAGCTCATTTTACATACCACTCAAGGTCTTCATATCACTGCAATAATCTTTTTCGATATTTATTAATAATCCAATGCCGAAGCTGGAATATTGGTGTTGTTGGATTGAAAACAGATACGCAATGAAATGAAAACGTGCTCGAAACTTGTACCAAAGAGAACTTAAAATTAGATGCAGTTTGCGCTACTCCGACTCCTGAACAACTTATTGTTCGGCATTATTTAAATGTGTAGCTTGTATAATCTACTATTCATTATGAACCGACTTTAGAGATTTTATGCCCGGTTGAATTGAAAAAGTTGTTGATAAATATAGCCTCGCGTAATGTATTTGAAAGTTTCCTCCGAAACAAGATTTTCCGTGGAAAAGTAAAACGGATTTACTTATGGGGTATAGCGAGGCCGCAGCGAGAACGAAAAAAAATCAAATCACAAAGCAATTAGAAATACTGAGAATTGAGCTTCGCCGGAGTAGCTCGACGTTGATTTTCCAGTCAGTATTCAATCTCCAGTCGGTGATATTACGTTATACCGACTTGTCACGCTAGACTGCTGAAAATTAAAAGTATTTGTTTATTCGTCCGCGCTTGCGGTTATTACCCACGGGACTTTGGCCAAATAACCTCGCTCTTGAACTTTCGTAGGTGTTTTTAGTAAATTCGCACGGATTGCGGAACGTTATCGTAGTTTAACGGCAGTTCTTTAGTCAACCGTGTAAGCAGGAATGCCTGATCCTGCGGTAATCTTGCTCTTCGAGGAGTGCGCGAAGACAAGTTTATCACGCGAAATAGCATGTTTTTCAAGTCATTCCGTCTTCAACGGAAATTACCGAGACCTGTTACGTATACGTGTATCTACATTTATCGCTTGTACATGTGGATTAACACTATCGCGTTAAAAATAGCTGGCAAACGCGAGAAACCGCCTTGGTTCTCCGACTTGTCGTCATTTGGGTACAATGCTTTTTCTTGCTTCTCATTTTGATTACGTATGTATACCTATATATGACACTGCTAAGTGCCACTCACACGTTGCTGGCTCTGTCGTTTTTCTAGCTTATAGTCGCGTCGCCTGCAACTATTTCAAAGTCGTTTTTCTTTCTCCTCTCTCGAAGCATTTCTATGAAGTGTAACTATAATGGTCACCTATCGAAGCACCGTACACGTGTTTCTCTTTAAAGATCTGTCTTTCCGCCGAGGGTCTCTGACATTCGAAGGAGCGTGAGCTATATCTCTCTTCCAGGCTCATTACATTAGGGTTTTTGGCAGCGGTGACGATCGCTTTAAATTTTACTATCACGAGGCACTTGGAGGCATACATTCTGCCTTAATGCCGATGGCGAATTGGCGAATCTAAATGAGCACGCGCTCGCTACGCGACCATTACTTCAACTATTGCCGATCATCTGTGTTTGAGGAAGCCATTCGTTTCCCCACCAAAGGGATATTCAATAGCAGACATTTTATCCCGCTCGCGCAATTGCCTAATGACAGAATTAAGCCAATCTAAACTATGCGCACTATTCCGAATAGCTTGGCATTACGCACAATCGAAATTTGTCAGAGCTGCTCGGCGCAGTTCGCTGATTACCATGTGGTACCGTATCAATTCAAAGTACTCGAGTAGTTATGCAAATGACTCGATAAAAAATATTTCCGGCTGATGGTTGAGTTTCTAGTTTTGTTGTTACATATTACTCATGGGTCAAAAACAAGTTGTATACACACAGCGAAAGTAAACTTTTCAAATGAACTATAGTTACAGAGTTACGAGTACGAAAGTTAAAAGGTACGTCAGCGAAGGCCCGATTTACCCATTATAAATAGACAATGATGCGATTCGCGTTAGAGCACTCGGCTCACGTTAGTGGCATGGCTTATTGAATTACGCACCAAGAGAGAGAAAGCGAAAGAGGGAATAGTCCCTTCCTAAATTGCCGTTCGCACGGCGACAACGGCAGGATCAAAAGTATGAATATAGAAGCTTGCGATATCTCCCTTCGTCGTCGGCGTCGTTAACGTAGCCAGCGCGAATTTTAATCGACATGGTGAGCGAAATTTCACCACCCGTAAACTTAATTAAAAAGCTCTTCCTTAATCGCGTCCCTACATATATTTCAGCCGTCTCCCTATCTCTGACTTGGATATACCTTTTGGTCAAACTCGTAAATCCTCCATTTATTCGTTATCCCTCCGTGTTTATCGTGCCGCAGTTGTTTGCTTGTCTTAAGACCATTTTTATTCTGCTCTTGTTTTCTTTATTATTGATTTTCCACGCGCGACCGAGTATACCGGGTATAAGCATTCTCTCTTGGTGCACGACAGCGAGAAGAAATTATAAAATGGAAATATGACGCAAATTTTAATTTCTCGGCCCTTCGCTCTTCTCTCGCTCGCGGCGGAGAATTCCTTACATAAAAAGCTCTCTCCCGAGGCACAGCTCGTAAAGAAGCTTAATTGAAACTGAACATCAAAGGCTCTGACGTCATGAGCCATGCGGTCGCAGTAGCTGCCACACTTAATTACTCGCCGACGACCGATCAACGGGAGAATGACAAGCGCTATTTCATTTGAAAGCCTTATAATTAACGAAAATTAATTAGTCAGGCAGAGCTATGAACAGTTCTTGTGCAATTCATTTTGGCAAATGCCAATTTTCTTCGGATCTACCCTGGCTTTTGTACTTTGTCTCTTTTAGCTTTCCATAATTATCTGCTATGAAAATACACACACATACTCGCGCGCTCCGGTGAATATTATTTATTCAATAGGATCGCTCTTCTCTCAGGAGGGTTTTACTTTTTCATTTGTTTTTTTCGTTCGACTTCTCTTCGTGATAGTTTACATGCTTTCCGCCAGTATCGTAGAAAACGTCTCGCAGTAAATATAGAACCGATTTCCTTTCCGTGTCAATTTATACTAGGAAATGGTAACAAAGTTGTTGGATCGTGGCACGAATAATGTGTAAGACGCACTTTTTGACGCACCACAATTCTCCTTACTGACTGAATAAGTTAATGTTATTTTCAGCATATAATGTGCAATTATTAAAAATTTTTATGAAGCGTTAAAGGAATTCAAAGGAAAATAAAACATTCGCATGATTGGTATGAAATGAAAATGCATTTCTCTAGTATGTACTAAAAATTCAAACCTGACAAAAAGTCCTGATTTTAGTCGATTAAAATGATACGAAGATGCTCCATTAATGTCACTTACAAGAAATCTCACTTTATGCGAGGATAGGTTATTTTCTTGTTGCGACTCACTTGACTCCTGATGAATCGCCATAGAATAGTGACGTTAAAATAGGTAAATCAATCAGAATACAACGAGCATTTTCAGCCGCGCTGTAAAAATTTTCGAGGTTTTATTATTTTGCTGATTGCTCGTCAAGTCCAGAGTAGCACCGTAATCAAGGAAATAAAATCGAATTGTGGTTACAAATAGGATTGGTAACTTTGCGCGTAGCGCGAACTGAAAATTGAAGTTAGTCGAGAAATCCCGCACCATCGTCGCTATTTTTCAACGAGAAAGCGTCGGGCAGCTGCTAATTAGACTAAAGCCTGTTGTTATTCGCGCACAGCGGACAAGCCAATTGCGTTGATTCGAGAATGTCCCGTTATCACGATTAATAAGACGTGCGTATATATAGAGCAACATATAGTTTATATGGATGACCGATAAGACACGGAAGCTCTGTCAAATCGAATCGACGAGCAATACTACTGGCATGCTGATTTTTTACTCTACAGTCTATTTTTATCGTTCTATTTTCCTTTCACTCTACAAGAATCTTACACCAGTGCCTCTTCTATTGGATGTTCTTTTCGTTGCTCGTCTACGTCGCACCCACTTCCAGCTCATAGTTTCTCTTATCTCTTTCGAGTACCGATTGATTTTCATCTACTGGCGTGATTTCGCTCTCGACTTACTTTGTGCATTAGCGCTACTTAAGCTGTGTTCATTCGCGAACATCCGTCATATCAATGTCTACGAATACGCGCAAAGGTGTCTATAATTAAGTGGCAAGTATTCCTTTTTATTTTACACGCCACAAAGCAATTCAAGTACACTTGTTCCTGACTGAATCGAAGATGACATCGAGACGAAGGTAATTTAAAAAACTGATACTGTGATAGCAGCACTTTTGTCTTGACATTGAAAGTTCAATTTTTCCCCAATTACTTCTCTCTTTGAAAGCTGCCAATTAAGTTGTGACAAATGATCGTTGTTGAAAAAGTATAAGGGCTTTCCCCTTGAAATTCAATCATTCAAATGGCTTTTTCTTCCATCTGTCAAAGTAGAGATTAACTTCATTCCCTGCGTACATATAGGACGTCAATAAACGAATCGAGGAAATTGTCGATGGAAGATTTTTCTTTAGCGAGGAATCGCTGCAATGAATGCGATTATCAAGAAGAAAAAAGGGAGTAGGGAAACAAGCGAATATGAGCAAGTGGACGATGATTCGATCGGTTATTAACTTTGCCGAGCTTCGATAGCGGTGAAGAGTGTCAAACAAAATAAACAAGCTGTCATCGTATTTGCAGCTGATTCGACTGGAAAAGTTAGCCGCGGCGAATAATAACCCCCTCATTCATTAACATGCATCCTGCTCATCGTATACTAATGAAAGCTATCACAACGGATTTGTAATCCGATCTCATGGTTAACACGGCATGTTCGCAAAGCTTACACGCACACGCACGTACACACTACACGCACACTTGCACACTACCCCGTATGTAGGCTATGGCCAGTGAAGAACATGGCAATGCCGCATTAAGAACATCGAGCGTGTTCCGTTATAGTAATCCTCATGTAACACCTGTTTTGAATCTCTGTGCAGTGCCAAAAATCACACCTGCGACCATACCTCTGCGCTCGACAATCACCTCTCAAAAACTGTAACCAAATCAATGTCTCTCTCATATCATCATCGACAACAACAATAACAATAACGAACGAAACGAATAGCTCGATAAGCGAACCGAGCGCGTATCTACACTAAAGCGTGCAAGTCGCCACACCGTTGCTCGCATTCGCACGCGAGAGTCGCTCGCGGCAGTCGTCGGCCCGGAAGACGCGAAGCGAAGCAAGACAAGCGAGCAGAAGGAGGAGGAGGAGGAGGAGGAGGAAGAGGAGGAGGAAGAGGACGACGACGACGACGACGACGACGAGGACGACGAAAGCGAGGAGGACGCAGAAGTGGGGCGGAAGGAAGAGGACGAGGGCGGAGGAGGAAGGGCCGGCGGAGCGAGCAGCAGAGGAGCGGAGAGAGTCCGAACGAGCGCGGATCCATCCAACGTCCACCGATCGCTGCCTGCGATGCCCGCAGCCGCCGGGAGGCAGGCGGCCGAGTCCGAGGCGTGCCCCGCTATTTTCGCGAGCGGCGCGCCTTAAATAGGCGAGCGCGCGCGCGAGCGAGCGAGCAGCAAGCAAGGAGAGCGATCGAGCGAAGTCGGCTTTGGCGCGCGCGAGCTCGTGGCCGCTGCCACGGGGACATGGAGGATCCCTGAGCGGCGGCGGCGGGCCCAGTGACCCAGCGATCAGCGCGCGAGGACAGTGCGCGAGCGCGGCCAGCCGGCGGACCAGCGGAGCTCGCCCGCGAGTGTATGTTGTTTCGTGGCGAGTGGCGCTAGCGGGCGGCGAGGTGGGGGGGCGCGTTGTCTTGCCTGCCGTGCGCCGGCGGCGGCGGCCACGGCGCCGGGCCCGGCCAAGCCCAGCCGCTCGTCGCCGACAAGCTCCTGCAGGCCCAGCAGCCGCGCGCCCGGTCCTCCCAGTTGCCGTCCCCGCAGCGCCAGCCGGCCGCCGGCTTCGCCCAGCCGCCGAGGCAGCCGCAGCCCCCGAGCCGGCTGCTCCTCGGCGCCGCCGCCGAGGCTGAGCCGCTGTCGCCCGCCGAGGCCGCCAAGGCGGTCGTGCTCGGCGAGTTCGACGAGTACCTCGGCGACGTCGACGAGCAGGCGGAGCAGGAGGACGAGGAGGGGGAGGAGGACGTCGACGACGACGAAGACGACGACGAGGAGGTGGACGAGGACGAAGAGGACGAAGAGGCCGGCGCGCCCGCGCGCCCCCGACGACCAGGGCCAGGGGGCCCACCGGCTCTCGCCCCGCCTCCACGACATCGAAGAGGAGGACGATGAGGACGGCCGCAACACCCGCGAACGGTGAGTAGCCCTCTCTCGATTTTCACCTCATCGACCGCCCACTTCTCTGCCCTCGCCTCTCACTCGCTCGATCACTCGCTATCACACTGCTCCCTCCACCGATCAGCCTCGATCTCCGTCGTCGACTGGCCTGCTCTTTCTCTGTTCCTGCACTGTAACTCAGGCCCTCCGACCGCGAGCTCCTCGGGCCTCGTTCCCTCTCTTTCCTCTCAGCGCCACTGTCTTTGTTATTCCGGTGATTCCGGCGCACCAACCATCGCGACGTTCGGCTCTGCGTCGTACCTTTCCTCTTAACTTTTTACTCGAAAGATCCGAAGTCAAAGTTCAATTGTAGCTTGTAAGCCTATTAGCGGCCTTCGCAATCTCGTTCCCGGCTAACTTTCCGCTACTGCCGTCGGCTTTCGACTGATACCGCAACTAGAGGCCTTTTCCCTAATAATTGGGCCTTGCACTCGAGCGCTGTTCTATTCTAGCTTTTTTATTCGTATCTTTTGCAGCTGTTTTGTTTAACCCTTGGCTGTTTGTAAATATACCCTTTTTAGGCCAAAGTAGCGACCCAGTCACTGTCAAAAATTGCTTGTATCTTATCTTAATTGGAAATTTTCCCTGTACACTTTGACTTTGTATTTGATACTTATCTATGATTAATTTGCATGCGTACTGAGTTGAACGTAACATATATGTTGTGTAAATGGTAAGCGTCTATGTATATGTTATTAGCCTAGGCAATATATGGCTTTGTAATTATATCAATAATTGTATTGTACAGTATTGTCAGAATAGCGTTTCCACCTATTCCAAGTGATGAATTAAAAAGTAATATTGACAATAGGATATTGCGCTGGTCGATATATTGGGGGGCATATGGACTCTAAAACGCGCAAAAATACCAATGTTATTTCGAAGCGAACGTGAGCGGCGAACGAGCACGAGCACACGCGCATGGCTCATTCGATCTGGAACGAACAAAAGAGCCGAGCCAAAAAGTACCGTACGTAAGTATTATGGAGGGATCGAAATGCTTAACAATGGCGGTGGAATATAGAAACGATGAGCGCAGCAAACGGACAAATAAAAAGTGAGAAAAAGCCGGGGGACGGTGTTGATTGGGCTTCGTTTTTCAGTGGTCGATATGTATCACGCGGAACTCGTCAGAGTCTGGAGCGCGCGCCTGTCGCGTAACTAAATTTAGACGATTCGATTACGAGGGGGCAGCTCTGCGTCTGTAGGCCAGCAGCGGCTAAATAGGCCAAAGGCTCGATCGCGGCTCAAGATTGTCGGGACATTCGCTTTAAGCCGTTCGGGTTAAAGGTTAACGACGAGCGATCATTGCGACGAGAGAAAGAGATGAATCGTGGTGTGCAGCGATGTCAAGGTAAAACCGGTTAGCATGAAACGTGCGCTGCTCTTGTTGCACCGTCCGGTCTGCTCGGTGTTCGCGACACACGGACACACACACAAGCACACTTCCGATATATACGCGCGGATCGAGCGTATGATTATCGTTACGTAACGGATGGGATATCTTGGTGTTGGCGCGCGTACCGATCGAGTTGTCCTATAACAGTCGTCGCGGTGGTTCATGCGTCACGGCCTCGCCTACTTCTGCCGTCTCTCTCTCTCGCGCGCGCGCGCGCGCGGAACGGATTCATCTCTCATTTCCCGATACGCTTTTCATTTAACTTTGTCCGTCGATTAGGCGCGGACGCTACGCGATATGCCTTATACACGGGTGCGTGCCGCCGTGGCAACTTCTGCTGCCGTTCCTCTTTCGCTCTTCCGACGACGTCGATCACCATTCCAGGTAATTGCATTTCTGCTTTTTCTCGAACCCTCCTCTTCCGCCTCATCTCCTTCGTCTTCTTTTCCTTACTTATTGTGACGCGAGCGATTCCATGCTAATCAAGCCGCACTATCGATTATTCAAATACGCGCGCGCTTGCACGCTGATCATCACGCTTCATAAAATTTAATTTACTGTCACATACCTCCGTATCTATCGGTTATCGTTCGCCGAGATATAACTTTCGATTTGATCGAGCGCCCATCATTTTCAATTGCGATCGCGCCGGCTTTAATTACTCGATGAAAGCCTATTCGCACGATCGCTATTTCAATTATTGCCTTTTCGAAGAAGTACATAGCTGGCTACGCGCAATATTTTGTTTTTCGTGAAATTTCACGAAGCACTTTTGCGCGATCAATTAACAAAACAAACGGGTGTTATCAATAGCGTTGTGCAAATGTCGCGGACTTCTCGTCACATTTTCATGATTGGGCTGATTGGGCCGTTGCACAACTAGTTTTATAGAAACCAACAAACTGTGTCGGTCGCGCGTGTCGTCAAATTTTCCGCACACGCGTACGACACCCATTATCGCACTTTTTACCAGCGACCTGATTATCGCCCATTAAAAATACTTTGCAAGGATTTCTTACGAATTTCCATGTCACGTTTTGCCACTGACATCGTTTGTCTAAAATAATGGCCAGCCACGCGGGAAATTTTTGTCACGTGCTCTCTCACTAGTCGCCCACTGGCGCTTAATTACGAGATATATGATTTTACAGAATAGGTTTGACGTCTCATCGATGTGCGCGTGACTGTTCACTTAAGACTGGTTTGGCAACTTTTTCGTCGAATGATTATGTAACTTTGTATACGTTCGCTCTTTCGAATTCTCGCGTGTTTCACTGTCAGTCTTAGGCTGACAACCACTAACAAAAAAGCTGCAGCATTTATTTTACCTTTGTTTTTACGTCGAAATATCCAGTATTATTATTTCAATATTGACTGCTAGTAGAGCTGGCAATGATGTTTCTGAAAATACTATTTTTCGTCGTTCCCGTACTTCCAGTTGTGGTACGTATACCATGACATTTTGCTGGCTTAATGAGGCTGAGGTCGAAAATAGTAGGAAAACGTGGAAGAATATGGACCACCTAGACTTTTATCGAGCCTACGAATTAGTAAACGCTAGAACATTTTTTTAATAAGTTCTTATATATGTCAGTCGTTCAGTTATCAAACGCTGTCATTCATTTTTTTCCAAGACATTTTTTATAAAATCCATGAATACGTTTTTGAGAAAGCTAGGAGTGGTATTACCATTTTTGTACGAAAAAAATTTAACATTTTGTATTTGATGATAGATTTGAATAATACGATGGTTAGATTTGAATTCAGCAAAAAGACGTATATATATCAAGACGTCAATTACCATCAAATACAGTATTGAATTTAATATCATTCACCCTTATTCAATTTAGTAGTATAAATTAAATCATAAACCACGAAGACTCAATATGTGACCATTTGTTTGCAAATAAAAAGAAGCAGTCGTTCTTCATTGCTAGATGCTCGTAACTGGCTCTCAACGCGATAAACGATGTACATTTGCCGTTATTCTGAATTGCCTGGGTAATTTGAGGTCAAAAGGACTTATTCAAGCTAAGAAATATCGTATAATTAAATGTAATGAACTGTTTCGGTTTTTATATTCCTCCAAAGGTTTTTTTCATTTAAAAAAGTGAATGATAATTAAGAAAAATTGACATGAAAATGCCAGGAGTACGGATGATCGCGAAAAACTTGTAGGATATGATGTGGAATAATTAATGCGCGCAGTAGGAAAATTCCAAGACCCAGGGCACTCGCCTTCTTAGAAAAGAAGCAGTGGTCCCTGTCACCCACAAGGTTCATATTTCACCATTCTCTCCTATTTGCTTGAATCAAGTTTAATGACGGACACAGCATTAGATCGACTCGACTAAAGAACTAACATTTGATTGCGCCGAAAGATAAGCATAATTAAAAATGTCGCGACGGTATGCACGGAAATTCCACTATTGTTCAATAAAACAAGCTTCATCCAGCGTCGCAATGCATTATTAAAACTAGCACGCGCGCACGGATGCGCGGATGACGGGGAAGAATAGAATATGCACGAGTTTTTCATTCCTTTTGCGGAATCCAGTTAATTTTTCGAATCTTATTTCGCTCACGTTGCCCATTTTATAATTTGCTTTTGCTCCAGAGAGGGGAAACGAAAAAATAGACGCGAGTTTTATGAAGTTGGGCACTCTTGGCGCCACTCGAATGAAAAAGAAAATAATGGGAAAAGCGTGAATTTGTTCGCACTCGAATAGATAGATACGAGAGAATAATACTCAAATAATTGCAAAGCTTGCAAGCGCGGATAGCTCAAAGTTAAATCGATTGGGATGAAGTTTAAAAACAAATAACGTTGAGAATGTAAGAAGTGGCAATAAGAAAGGATGAAATATTATAATGGGAGAGCTGTAAGCTAGAAGTTGGGATCTGCGAAGCCATTTGGAGAATGGAGCCGAATAACGGGAAGCGAAGTGGTGAGCACGCTCGGGTCTAACAAAATGCGCCTGTCGTGCGGGATATGTACTCGGCGAAAAACAGGCGTCGTCGTCGTATCGTCGTCGCCCACGTGCACGCAACGGCTGTATTGGCGCGCACTTCCAATCCTTACTTACACTGTTGCGGCTGCTTTAGCTTCTAAGATGCAAGGAAAGCCGCACAATAGGTAGGTAGCAGTAGTAGTCGCGAGGGCAACCAAGTGCATTTGGATTCGGTTCGAGTGCAGGAGTAAGAGAGAGAGAGAGAGAGAGAGAGAGAGAGAGAGAGAGAAAAGAGAATGAGAGCGAGCAAATGGAAGGTTCGCTCGAAGATAAGGCCGAGGAGGAGAGTCAAGCGAGCAGAACCGACGGCTTAGCTCATTTCCCGATTATCCGCGCCGTGTTCCAATCTAGTTGCCGGATATTGTGAACAGCCGACTGAATGCACCGCTACATACGCTCTATACTCATTTTCTGATTTTGACTTTCGCGCTCGTCTGCGAGAGAAAAAAAGCCATTCTCCCGCTCGCCCCCTCAATCTATCGGGCTCTACAATTGTTCTTTCCGCAATTCTTATTCGTTCCCCCTTGGCCTATCGCTATCCCATCGCTCTCGGATCTGCAGCT